TCCCTATCTTGTTTTAGTCGTTTTCTCGTTGACAGAAGACTGGAGCAATACGATCAGAAGTATTAGTGTTTGTTATACTCATATTATTTGCAGACTTCTGTAGTGTATTGATAGTAACCAGCTATGAATCACATGGACAGTACTCCAGCTGGTGACATCAAAATACTAATGGGAGACATGGACGCCAAACTGGGATCAGACAACACAGGAAGAGAACTCATCATGGGTAGAGAAGCTCTCGGAGAAATGAATGAAAACGGAGAACTCTTCGCCGACTTCTGTGCCTTCAATGAACTAGTGATTGGTGGCAGCGTATACAAACACAAGGATATCCACAAGGCTACATGGGTGTCACCAGATGGGCGAACCAAAAACCAAATTGACTTCATCTCAATCTCAGGGAAGTGGAGGCGCAGCCTGCTGGACACAAAAGTTAGAAGAAGAGCAGACATTGGCTCAGATCACTATCTCGTACAAGGGACAATCCAAATCAAATTAAAAGCTTTCAGAGAATCAGGGGCTGCAGATAGACCACAAGCCAAGTTCAACACTCAAAAACTGAAGGACTAGGACACAAAGGATATCTTCACTGCAAGTATGAAAGACAAAGCCGAGACACAAATCAACACTGGCGAAGAGGTCAGCGTCGAAAAGCACTGGAACAACTTGAAGACAGTGTGGAGTCAAACCTGCATAGAAGTCCTAGGCAGAAAGAAGAGACAGGACAAACAGTGGCTCACTACGGACACTTGGAGACTGATAGAAGAGGGAGGGATGGTGAAACAAAAGATTCTCCAGTGCACCGATGAGCAACAAAAACAGGATTTGAACGCAAACTACAAGACACTGAACAAAAGAGTAAAGAAGAGTGCCTGGGAAGACAAAAGAAAGTACTATGAAACCATGGCAAGTGAGGCAGAATAAGCTGCAGGCAAAGGAGACCTCGCAACACTCTACCAAACTACTAGGTACCTATCAGGCAAACGTTTGACACAAATCAAGCCGGTGAAGGATGACAATGGAAAGTCACTCAACAAAGAAGTGGAGCAAAGGAAGCACTAGGCTGAACACTTCAAAAGACTCCTAAATCGACCACTACATACATCGCGCCCAGCAATACCAACAACGGAGACAGAGCTACCAGTGAACACCAACCCCCCGACGAAATAAGAAGTCCTGAAGGCAATCAAGATGCTAAAAGCTGGAAAAGCAGCAGGATCAGACGGAATCCCAGCAGAAGCATTGAAAACGGACCCAGAGACAACAGCGGACTTGATGACGCCACTACTGGAGAAGGTGTGGAAAGAAGGCAAAGTACCCGAGGATTGGAAGAAAGGATACTTATTCAAACTACCAAAGAAAGGAGACTTAAGTCAATGCAAGAACTGGCGCGGAATTATGCTCCTGTCCATCCCAAGCAAAATACTAAGCCGCATCATCCTGGAGAGAATCAAACATGCCCTGGATGAAAAACTTCGACCAGAACAGGCTGGATTCAGGAGAAACAAGTCATGCATTGATGAGATCGCCACATTACGGATCATCATTGAACAAAGCTTGGAATGGCAGTCACCTCTCTATCTCAACTTCATCGACTTTGAAAAGGCCTTTGACAGCGTCGATCGAGAGGTGATTTGGAAACTACTTCGCTACTACGGGGTGCCACCGACAATAATACATCTCATCCAACAGCTATACGACAATGCTGCATGCCAAGTAATCCACAACGGGAAACTTACGGAATACTTCGAAGTGAGGACAGGAGTAAGACAAGGCTGCCTACTATTGCCAATGACTTTCCTGGTTGCAGTAGATTGGATAATGCGACCAACAGCGGGGAATGAGGAAACAGGCATAAAATGGACTCACACGAAAAACTTGGAGGATCTGGACTTCGCCGATGATATATGTCTGATTTCCCACATACTGGAAGACATGCAAGCGAAAAGCAACAAATTGGCAGAAGAAGCATCAAAGATGGGACTTCAGGTGAACATAGATAAAACAGAGGTGATGAAAATTCCGGGGCAACACCACCAACAGCAACAACAACAACTGACAACAATCAGCCAGCATAGATGGGAGGAACCTGAAAGAAACAACCTCTTTTACCTACCTTGGAAGCATCGTTTCAACTACAGGCGGAACTGACGAGGATATCAAAGCAAGAATCGGAAAAGCAAGACAAGTTTTCACTACTCTCAAGTCTGTGTGCAGGAGATCAACAACTCTCAGCATCAAAAATAAGATCCGGATTTCCAACTCCAGTGTGAAGTCAGTGCTACCATACGGATCAGAGACTTGCACTGCGCGTCATAAAGAGCATCTCAAACAAACTACAGACCTTCATTAACAGTTGTCTTCGCTCAATACTACTCGAGATCAGATGGCCAGAAAAGATCAGCAACAGAGATCTCTGGCAATGAGCGGACCAACCAGGAACCGATTGTGAAACAAATAGGCAGGAAGAAATGGAGATGGATTGGCCATACTCTGAGGAAACCATCAAGTGACATCACTAGACAAGCCCTTGAGTGGAACCCGAAAGGGAAGTGGCGAGTTGGTCGTCAATGCAAGGGTGACTTGGAGGAGGTCATGTGAAGAGGAGATGAAAACGTGTGGGCAGACTTGGAGCCAGGTGAAGACTCCAGCAGAGAACAGAACGCAATGGAGATGGTTGGCTGAAGCCCTATGTTCCTGTAGGAATTAAAGGATACAATAATAATAATATAATAATGAATCACATGGCAAGCTGCTGTGTGGTTAACTTGCTATATTGGCCTGCACTTTTTTGATCAACAGATCTTCGGCCTACCGTTCATCTTTTAATACTGTTTGCATTGAAATTGATCTAGTTATTGAATACGCAAAGTAGCATTCTGTGTTCCGGAGGTCCGTCTTCTGACTAAGGCAATATTTTCCTGATAACTATTTAGAACCACATTTACCCTATATAGTATTGGAAACAGCCGCAGGTGGCGAGTTAACTAAGGCTGACGAAAAAACAGAATCTGGAGGTATTTTGAACGCATTGAGGTATAGTGTGTGTTGAAATGTGCCGAACATGGCCTGCTATAAACATTATAGCTGCTCAGTGGGAAGTCATTGATTAAGAATTTTTTCCAAAATTTCATATTTGAATGTAGATGCTATTTAGTGTAGTCATTCTCCTTTACCCTAACCATTTGCGCCCTCTGTGATGTGGACATGTTGATGAGTAGGTACGATAAGATGATACGAATTTCCACGAATATACCACCTGAACTACTAATATACTTTTTCAACATTAGTCAAAAATGTGTCAGTAAAATAAATAAGTGTAACAGTGTTCTTCTGTAGTACGGTGAACATTTTGGGATGGATGTGAAAATGTCTTATATTACTGGTAATTTATTTTATAATATCAAGGCGACCGATTTCTCGTGGTTTGTATTTGTCCTTTTTTACCTTGGGCGCGTAAGTATGCGTCTTATGATCTGCATAGATCATGAACAGTCTGGTCTCTGTTTCGTGAGTCAAATGTGTTTAACTGCCACGTATGTTGCCAGCAACTCTCTTCAAAAAGTGGATTATCTCGTTTCTGCAAGATTAAGCCGTTTAGAGAAGAATGCTATCGGTTTGCAGTTGTATTCAACCAGCTGATTTGCATCTGCTTCCACAGCCTTATCTGATGGGTCTGCTATTAAAGCAAAATAATCAGGGTTGTGGCTGTTGCCAACGCTTCCATCAGCTGTACAATCGCGTCGAATGAGTCTTGTGACAAGTGAAAGTGTTTCGGCTTTCCCCTTAACGTATCAGTCAGGGATTGCATTTATTGTGCACAATTAGGTATAAAAAGTATTTTAAAGTTGATCAACCCCAAAAAATGTCGGATTTGTGTAGAGCTTAATGATACTGGTCAGACCAGTAGTTTATTTATTCATTAGTAAGTTACTTAAATTTGTGAAAGCCAGTGTACTGAGAGGAATGTTCGCTCAGTTTGCATAAAGTCTTATACACGCTCCAATAGAATACCTGAAAATTGGTCGGTTTCTTTCTAGTGGAAGTTTGTTGTTCATGGTACTCCCTGACCACTGACGTGGCCGCCACTTGGCCAGCTGGTAAACTCAAGGTCAGGCTTGAAATGAACAGTTTGAGCATGTCTAACGGACAAGGAATCTAGCTCTTAGCGACTGCTATGGTAGGCTTTAGACATTGGCCCTGCTTATCCACTTAACTTACACTTTTTCTCCTTAGTTTTCACTATACATGTTTTAGTTTAGCCTCTTCTTCACTGCACTTTTTCATATGTTTTCATTTATTCTCCTCTGTATTTTCCGTTAGTTATATGTGCTAATCTCTTACTTCATATCTTGTTTGGTTTCGCCTCCTAACTTTAACGATCTCGACTCTGTTCTCACAGCATCGTTTTTTCCTTTATTTTCGGCTCAGTCGTACTATTCGGTAGACCGACAAATGTGATTCTTCGCAGTGGCACTTACGAGGAACAATTTAAAGACATCTTTCTTAATAAATACTTTTACAAAGTTCAACAGAGTTACAGAAGTCGAAGAGAAAAGTCAACGGATTCTAAATTAGACTTAAGGTGGTTGCACGAAACCAAGAGGCGAACGCCTTGAAGTAAATGTGCTGTTGCAAGCTCGTTACAAAATATCTGATGTCTACACATATATTTAGTACGAACAAACCCAGTGCAAATACCACTTATATGACTTTAAAACCGCTACTTGTGATTTAATTTGTAATCTAGTGATGTTTGCCAGTTTGTGCAATTTATTTAACAAGGGGTTATGCCGCTGTATCTACAAGATGGAATACCAAAACCACTGACTAAACATCTCAGGATTAAGCTTAAGACAAAAGTGGTTAATCTGTCAAACAGAAATTTGGACGTGAAAATCTCGTCGCATTCCTAGAAATTATCAAAGGCCTTACATATTTCCGGTTGAAATCCATGTTACCTATTGTTCTTTTATTTTACTATTTTAATCAGCCTGTATTCTTGAGAGGGTATTTCGTTTTTTCAAGGTCGCGCCCTATTTCTATTGCTCACTGATTTACTCAAGTTAGTGTTCTAACGACCATTTAAAAATGTTTTATAAACTTGCATTACAATCGATACCACTTGTGTTAAAGTACGCGGAAGTGAATATCTCAGAGATAAGCAGTTAAATGTTTTCGTCTAGAATTTTGTGAAGTTCTCGGTCATGGTAATCAGTGTTTTGCATATTGTGACTGGTATTATTCGAGTTATCAGCAAAAAGATAATTATATCAACTGCTATGAGCATGTTTTCGACTGAGTAGAACGCATTAATGCAGTGCACATATATATTTCACTGTGGCTTCTCATTACTAGATTATTTTTTGCCCAGAAAAAATAAACTACACTGTTCAGACAGTACTTTTTAAGTTCTCGTTTCAATAATGGAGGTGATTTGACGCATCATTTAGTGATTTAATGACAAAATGGTCGAGATATTTCCTTCCGTCGTCCTGCATAAAGAAACTAAAATGATTTATTGCAAGAATCATTCTGTCTAGGCTGGTTAGATGTTCTGTGTATGAATAATAAATAAGACACAAATGCATCTGAACCTTTCAGTCTAATTATTAAACAAAGGTAGTGCTGATATGTGTGTTGATATAATTGGGAAATATTGCCTCTATTGGAATCCCTGTTTTAAGAACAGACGATATGGCGCGAAAAAGTAAGGACTCGGATATTCTCACAGTTCTTTCAATCCGTCAGGGTTTCCTTTCATGTACCAGGCTTCACGCCACTCTTAATATCTAAGCTTGTGATTTTAAGTGTAGGTATGTGGATGGATTACTGATTGTAAGGAAAACGTTGCTTCAGTTTGTATGCATCGGATTCCTCTTTGTTTTTTATCACTTGCCGTGGTGTTGTAGATCAATATTTCGAAACAAAAGATAATATGTAGCTCAGATTAAGCATTTGAATGTTTTATTACAAAAAATTCGTGATTTTGGAGCATGAACCTCTGAGCAAACCACGCATATACATTTGCAATTATATTCCGTTTATTTCACGAACGCGTCCATTAGTTCTGCATCTAAAATGCTTATTAATGTAAATGTGAAGTTACCAAGATTTTTGTCAGTCTTGTGGAGCTAGGTAGATCAGTCATTCAACGAGGCTTCTGTCCGAAAGAGTGCATGAACGTTACGCTAAATGGCTATGCAGTGATGAAAGTGGTTCTGTAGGGTGGGCATTAATTAAACATTTTGTTTGCACTGGTCAGTTTTTCTCAATAATCTCTTTCTTGAAAGTTATCTACAGGACCACAAGTACCCTTCAAAATCGTTATCGGTCTGCCTCATGTGTAGTCTTGACGCTTTAGCTATCTAACAAACAAAAAACTCGAGCTGTGCATACAGAAGGAACTTGTTCAACTTCTTTTCTTGTTTTTAAAGTATTCACGTTACAAAATGTTTTCTGAAAAGTTCTCTTTCTCACGTAATATTACTTTTTGTATTTCCGTGCTTATTTTGATGACGATTCATTCCTTAAGTATTTTGTCTTATTCCACAGAATCTTATCTGTAGTTGTTCATCTTTATTATGGCCGCATCAAATTTTGATTGATACTTGTTAATCTTAACTTGACATTTATTTTACTAGTTATATATTCTTAAATTCAAAACTGTCGGATACATTGATGAAATAGGTTGCATGTAGTTGTTCAGTTGCAGTAAGTGAGTTCACTGAAGAGTATGTTATCTAAAGCACGTGTTTTATCTTTATATGTGGTTTATCCAAGTTGTATTTTCATTCCTAATGATCTGTTGACCTTCAATTGTTTCTGTAAATTGTTTAATCTTCACACCTATAATAATATCTCTTGTTATTCCTTGTAAAATGTATTTTTAGCGCAGTGTACAGATGATGGTGCAGTTTCTAGTAATTGTACACCATATCGGTCAAATGAGGTAACTGCTGTTGCAATCTGTTCGTTTTCGTTTAAAATTGCTTTAGCTGTTAAAGTGTTTTAATTTGTAGTTATACATTCTAAATGTTCCTTTTCATTTACTTTTCCAACATTTTAATCTGACGAAGCACTTCAGGTCGAAATTGTTTACAATGTCAAATGAAACTAAAAAGGCTGAAGTGCCACCTTCTATGAAGTTTGTATTAGGTGGAACTGCTGGGTATGTTTTTTGTAATGCGATATATTATTTGAATAGTTTTAAACTTAAATCTAGTTTCTGAGTAAACTATCATTTTTATGAGGTGTTTTTGTCGAATTAATACCTCTTTAAGAATATCACATTTACAATAAACATACTTTAGAGGCTGAGGGTGTTGATGTTTATGGGTAGTATGATGTATACTAATGCAAAATCTAATACCCACAAATATAGTATTCGTTCCGCTTAGACCAAAGAAAAAACAAAACACTAAATTTATTGTCCCAAAAATATTTTGGGACCAAATCTTAGTGCGAGGATGATTGGCTTACTAACTAGGGATCGTGCACGAACGAACGAACGAACTTAACACGACGGCGTGCCAAATGGCGTGGATGCTTGACGGCTAGCCTTCAGCTAAACAAGTCGATTTAAACATTGAGAGTCAGCATCCAATATTGAATGATGAATGCTGTGGCTAATAATTTTGGGGAATTATCTACCACTACAATGTTGTAGAGCATATTTGTTAAGAAAATTGGTAAATAAAAGAGATGCACCTTACTGCATTTTCGTTCAAACACAACTTTGTCATAAAGTGGGAGAAAGCAAAATCCTCGATTCCTCGTCTCGCTTAACTGATGAATTTAGCTCTAATAAATTTGTTCTGTGTGAACATACGGGGAAATACGATACACAAAGCAACAAAACAATATCAAATGGTACGAAAAGGTGCTCAGAGCATGATACAGTGAACAGACAAGCATCATTGTTAAAAACTTACCGGCGGTTATAATTAACACAAACGGAACTCCAGTATGATCAGCAGTAATTTTGTTGAAATAAATAAAATTATTGCAGATAGACAATACTGTATGGTAGTCTAAGTTTCCATACCTAATCCAGTGTTTCAAAACACCATCCCGAATGTGCATCTGAGTAAGTGATTGAGCCCAAAGACTCGACTTATAGGCTAAAGTCACCGCCATCTTTCAGACGCTCATAGTTGGGGGTAGTGACTTAGTTAATACTTAAAACCGTCCTTAATTGCAATCAGGCTGTACTCTTAGCCTAGGTAGAGACTTCAGAAAGTCACTGTTTACCTTAGCAGTTGCTTTTTTGGCTGACATTTCTGGTCTCAGCGTATATTTATGATATATTGAAGGAATTAAAAAAAAATGCATCTTATTCTTTAACGTTTAGCTCGACACCAGCACAACCAAAAGCTGGTGTTACAGGTTCTTTGGATAAACACATATGATGCATACCTATAAACAAGAAGGTGAAGTCGTTTAAAGCCCTTCACAGAAATCTTGTGTGTTGCTTCGTTAGATGCAGCATGTATCATGTATCTAGGTTTCGAGCAAAACCTATCTGTTGTCAGGTGCGGGTGTTATAGGTTGGAAATTCAGTGTTAAAGTTATTGATTAGGAGATTATATTTAAGGGAACCTTTTTGGAAGTAACCCTTTAAAGATGAAAAATGGTGCAGTCGGATTTTGAAGATTCCGAACACTAATAAGAAGCTTGGCGGGACGAAGTAAAAATAGTTATAGGAATAGCTGTAATGAAATGAAACAGTCCTTATGTAGAGATGAGGGCAGTGTAATGATAAGTTAATCAATAGCGTATTCCATTTACAGTGCCATATAGTTGACCTTAAATTGAAACCGCTGAAGTATGCTTCTTCATAGTTTGTATAAAGGTAATATTATTGTCCGGTCTCACAGCACCTTGGTAGATGGTTATCTTAAACTTGTATCATTTCCCGGTTTTTGAAAATATCTATCACTAGTAGCTTAATACACAAACTTTTGTTTGTATTGTCCACTATAGTAATTATGATTGTCTTCTTGGTTTCGCAATCACGTAGGCATACTCACTTAACAGATTACGCTTCCCAAAATTAATATGCTTGCAGGTCGATTACATAACAGTAAGAGACTGGAAAAATGTTACCATTAAATAATAAGTTGCTAACTGTATGCTGAAGATTTAAGGAGAAAATGGTACTTCTTATCATCTTCCAGATTCTGAATACTTTCTGATTATCTTCTTTTACTCTCCCCTTCATAACCATGTTTCCCCATTGAAGTATGCTTATATTTCCTGAATTTGAACTGATGCATTTCCATGCAATGTTCTACATCCGTCTATGAGTCACGATAATCGTACAGATATTTGAATTAGCGTTATGCTTACAACCTTCAGAAATCTGAGTAATGCCTTTGTTGTTATTATTTAAAAGGCTCATATAATCAGTAGTGCGGTATATAAACTAAACACAAAGAGCTATGATAATTCAGTCGTCTCAATGAGCAAATAATGCGAATCCAAATGCATATAGCTTTCCTGTTTTGATAAAATATGTTTCGTATCATCATCATCATCATCATCATCGAGTTAACAATTTTTATTTATACTTTTCATCATTTAAATTTACAGAATGTGCGCTTCTGTGTGTGTTCAACCGTTAGATTTGGTCAAAAATCGAATGCAAATGAGCGGTATGATCAACATTTTTAATCTTCTAAATGTCTTTGTTCACCTGTTTCGCTTATAACTTTGAGAACAAATAATTACAGCCTGTTTTTTTTGTCGATAAGAATAATGTTACTGTTTATGCATATAATTATCCTGTCAAATTAGTCCATTGAACTTGTAATTACTCAGTTTTCTGTATTAGTCATTTCCACAGCTTTCAGAAGTTGTAGGCTTAACGATAAACAATGAAGTAATCCTTGTAATTGCTTAATTAGATTATTTAAATTCTTTTGATTGATCTCTTTTAGTCAACAATGGGGTAATACCACTGGATTAGAGATTCAGCATTTATTTTTATTCCCGTACGTTCCCAGTGGAACAATGGGCTTCAAGCTACAGCTTTGAAGTTCCGGTAGCAGTCGTGTTTTTATTTTTACGGGATGGGGTTGCTAGCTTCATGTCCAACCTTCCCTCTTTACCAGCCTTATTACTGACTTAGACGTGAAGGGGTGCATTTTCGTCCGGGGACAAGACCCCGAACCACCTGCGTGGTTGGTGAGCATTCTGCCGCTGACGCACGACTCATCATTATGTGATCCTAAATTTACCGAGTGAATAAATGAAAAAAAAATCCACTAGAGTTTCGACGTCCCACTTTTATTATTATTTGAGTTTTTATGAAGAAATATTTACGACTTTGCTAAATTCTCCTCAGGTATACACTCATCAGTAATCCAAAAAAAACTTGATGTTTCTTGACTCACCTCTTAAAGAAGTTATGTTTGCTTACACCTTCTGAACTTCACAAATATATTAGAATAGCTTTTAAGATACTTTGTGGCTGTCACTAGTTATTTATCCACCACTGATCTATCTGTCCACTTGCCTTTGGGTTAAACACACCTATGGTAACCTATTTTATTATTGCTAATATTTTTCATCCCACATAAGTCATATAAGGGTATTCTGTTATTTTTAACCTCTTTCATTCTGCTCATAGTGTTTCCCCTATATTCTGCTTTATTATAAATATTAATTTTACTCACCGAGAGCCTTGGTTGTATCTTTATGTTAATTTGAGAGGGGTAAGATAGTATTAAATTAAGGATTACACTTTGTTTCAGTGTTGTGTTATACGTCGCGAGCTGTCAGAAGTTAGAATTCATAGGCCATTAGATCGGGTCCCAGTGGCTGATTGGTCTGCGTGGCTCACCTTGTAATCGGAAGGTCATGGCTTCAAAGTCTGTTGATTGCGTACTGATGAAGAGTCCCATGTGAGGACGAAACAACTGCCCAGTACTCCCTGATTTTCCACTGGTTCTTTAACTGATGACAGCTAGTAATCGAATCCGTAACCAATCTAATCCCTGCAAACCAACACTTGACAAGTTAATTTTGTACATTTCCTATTGATTGATTATGCTGGACTGAAATGCTCGGTCTCTTAACATATCGGCTGCAGGTGTAGACGCGTCGGGAATTTCTGAGGATTAATGTGATATTATTTGATGAATGATGATTAGCAGTGGAATCCAGGATCCGCCTTTTGTCCTATTTGGGACTTATCGGCTGGATGAGCTCGCAGTATCCGTCGAGTGATGATGTTATTCCCACTGAAACTGGGTCCTCGCACTTGTCGTTACAAACGCTAAAGCGTTATCTACTAAGCCACTTTGGCCACGGAAGCCACCTCTTGTGCAACGGATATCAGTTATTATTTGTTTAATTTAACTTTGGATTTCTCGTCGATTTTCCGATCTCTGTTGAGACGTTTCAGTGAGAGCACCATGTGATTAACTGACTGGTTTCAACATACACGACTTTGCATATAAGAGCAGCAGTTAAAGTTGCTACACTATGTGTTGCACACAATGGGAGATAAATGAGAGGAAAAAAGATATCTGAAAGAATGATAGTAAGCAGAAATATGAGGGGGAAAAGATAGTAACATGGAAGAACATTAGGGTTTAGTGGATATCAGAGATCACAAAGAGTGAATGCATCTGCGCTATTGGAAACAATTTTGAGCCATGTCAACTGATTATCTCTCGCCATTGGTTTTTAGCATCTCAAGGACCCTAACTAAGTAGTCTACCCCTCCCTAAGTGGCTGGTTCAAACTAACTGTCAGAGATTTCATGGAATGATTCCAAGTTTTGGTTTGACCACCACTAGCTCTTTCCTACCTGATCATATGTCATTGGTTAACATTGCCCGTCGAGGAGACCGATGACTAGGGATGTGTAACACATGTTCTGGCCATCTCAATCAATGTAACTTCACAATCTCATCGACTGACTTTCCCTCCTTACCGATAACTCCATCACTTACTGGGGACTGCAAGTACATTCAGCTAATGAATCCCAAATAGGACGAAATGCGCATTCTGGATTCCGCTACTAGTCATCGTCCAGCAAATATATTTCTCTGTGTAATTAATCATATGTAAAGTAGCTTTTCATCATGTACCATTGCCAGTTAGATAACTGGAAAAAATATAATAGTTAAAGAACTGAGCACATCTTTTGTTATTGAGCTGGAAATTTTTCAGCTGCCCTGATTCTTACAGTCAAGAGAAACTAATATTGTAACCCTGAACTTCTGAGAGAGCTGAATCATACCTACATTGTTGCATATTGTTAGTCTAAAATGATATGCATAAGTTAAGGCCACTGATTGTAAAAGGAACATCTTACGTTGATTTATTCTGTTATTTGGGTCAATATATTTTCATATTTATAAGTACCTGGACAAGTGGTGTGTATTGATTTGAACTAAACTGAACTTTCGACGTAGTGCTTTATATATATAAGTGCATCAGTTCAAATTGTCTCACTGCAATAAAGCACACAAAGGGAGGAAAAATAAATGTATTGAAGTTATAATGGACAAAGATATACAGAAGAGATATTAGTCAAATGGAAATTAATAAGTCTTTTTTCAAAATCTGCAAGATAACAGGCGATGAATACATCTAGTCTACTGCAGATGATTATTAGCCATGTAACCAATAATCTTCGACGATTGATTCTCAGCATTCTAAAGACCTCAACCGGATGGTTTATAAGTTCTTATGTGTCTCAAGTTAATCGTCAAAAATGTTATTAATGGGTGATATGTTTTCATCTGGCCACCTCCAAAATCTTTCTATTACTTGTCTAGAAAGATGGTGGCTCCATCGGTTGGCTTTTCGTCCTTAGCTGACATTATGCCTTATGATACTGCCCCACCCCGCACTCGAGACTGAATATAAGCACTCAGAGTCAAAAAGCACTAATCTTTTCTCATCTTTCACCTTCCACATTCATGTCTAACGGTCGTAGAAAGTAGGATTGACCGGAAGTAATACATTCTTTTGAATACTCATCCACATATTCCGTTGTCGTTCAACTTCTTCACCTTTTTCTCTATATTGTTTTATTTTGTCGGGTGCACCTCTTTGTGTGCTCATATTGTGTGTAACGCGTTTTAAATAAGTAACATTTTGATATAATTTTGGTCTCATTATAAGCGTTCGAAGAGTATTCAAAAAAGAATAGGTGTAATTGAATTTTATATATTTCATGAAACCTGTAGTTAAGAATATCGTATCAGGTGGTGTTTTCTCGAAATTGGCGAAAACCATCGTTTCTATCTCAAATGAGTGCATAGTTTAGACAATTGAAATCAGTATTGTTGATTTGAGTGAGTTTCTCCTCATTGTGTGTATTCTCAGTGTTGAGTGTGGCTTTCGTTGTTGTATTTTTTCATATGTGGTGTCATTTATTCATTCACTCTTTCCTGTATTTTATTTTCCAACTTGATAGGTGTTGGAGGAGGTGCTAGTGCTGGTCAACGCAACAGCTTTCAGGTTCTTTTATCAGTTATACGCAATGAAGGATTTTTTGCAATATATTCAGGGTTAGCTGTTTATTTTTTAAAGTATATCATTAATGTGTTTCATGTGAAACTGTGGGTCATCCAGAAAGTGCTGGATAGCCGCGTCGTCCTTTTGTGGGACTCTTCAACACCCATGACTCCACCTGAGGTCGAACCCAGTATCTTCAGGTTATGAGGTTACCTTATTTCTTTATTCAGTCACTGGGTCACGGGTTCAGATCCCGCTCCTCCTACCGAGGTTTGGGCAGTCAGATAGTATGATAAGCCCTCACACACATAGTAAGTGTGCTGGCTGATTGCCAACAACTGCATGAAAGTGCAAGTGGTTGTCGAGTAACACTTCATTTTTTCATTGCGATGTGTTTCAATAAGTCTCGCTCCTCGACAGTTAGAGTTTCAAGCATTTAGACGTATTAAGTTCGAATAATAATGTAAGTAAAATATCCATTTAGTGACTTTTCGGTATTTAGCCCATTATATATATATATATATATATATAGGTCCTTAATAGGTTATTAAAATAGTTCATCTATTTTGATAAGAGAATAATATTGTGCCATGTAGTAGTGTAAAAAAGAAAGGACCGACAAAACCCGAAGCCAGTGTTTATTAGGACAAACGCACTGTAGGTACGTAAATTTGGTTTACCTTATCTTTAAATCCTTATTTGGAGATCATTTGCAAACTGGTTGAATATCACTACATTCGATAGCTTTTTGGATTCTGCACAGTGTGTTTCTAACGTTATTCTCACAGTTCTGTTCTTCGATTGCTTTTTTTCCAGTGACCGAAACATATTGTTACTTTTCTGAACTCGTTTACTGATATACTACTTATATCTGAATATAAGTAGCACTCACATCACTACTGGAGAGCCTTTGATGATACACCTGTGACTTTCAAATATGAAGCGTCCGTGATACTATCTGTGAATGGGTGTTGTTTTGGTGTGGTTGTGTTCTCTGAGCTGGATGGTTTGGTTGCGAAGCTTTCATTGCTCTACTGAGCAACATCTTCAGCGCATACTTCGATGTGAAGTGAGCTTTTAGAATTCTCTATGAGTTTATTAGTCATCTCTTCTAGTAACCTTGAACGTGATTGGTTGTTTTCGTGTGACATTTCACCTCCTAGTTTGCTTGTCTCGGTGCTGGCTGCTTCTTTGGTCTGAATGTCGTTAGTCATTCCTTCTGCTAACCTTGAACGTGATTGGTTGTTTTTGTGTGACTTCTCACTTTCTAGTTCACTTGTTTTGGTGTTGACTGTTTCCTTGACCTGAAGTTTGACTTTGTTTTTGTGTGAATTTCTTCGTATGGATTGGTATATTTTGTCAATCTCTATGTGTCCATTGATTGCTGATTCATTTGAATACCAGGCCTCTAGGAATTCTCTGGCATTTTTTTGCAGTTCCCTTTGTCTAAGATTTGAACATTGTCCCAGTCGAATTGGTGCCCGTGGTTGTCTGCATGTAGTGATATGAGGGAGTGTATGTCGTGTCTTTTGACAGCTAGTTTATGTTCGTGAATGCGGAGACGAAGAGGGCGTCCACTTTGACCAATGTAATGTTTGTCGCAGTCGTTGCAACTTATCTTGTAGATGACGTTAGTTTTGTCTTCTTTTGCCGTTGAGTCCTTTGGCTTACATAGAACTGAGTGTAGTGACTTTGTTGGTTTATGAGCGACATCGATTCCAAAAGGTTTGAATAGTCTTGCAGTGATTTCGGAGATATCTTTTATATATGGTAGGACGACTTTCTTTGTGTTTTCGCTGGTGGCCTTTGATTTGGTTGGTTGAGCTGGGGGTAGATGTCTTTTGATGAAGTTTCGTGGGTATCCATTTCTTTGGAAGACGTCCATAAGATGATTTTCTTCAATTTTCCTCAAGGCGGGAGTGCTGCAATGAGTCCTGGCTCTCTTGAACAATGTACGTATGCAGCTAACGACATTCAGACCAAAGAAGCAGCCAGCACCAAGACAAGCAAACTAGGGGATGAAATGTCACACGAAAACAACCAATCACGTTCAAGGTTACTAGAAGAGATGACTAATAAACTCATAGAGAATTCTAAAAGCTCACTTCACATCGAAGTATGCGCTGAAGATGTTGCTCAGTAGAGCAATGAAAGCTTCGCAACCAAACCATCCAGCTCAGAGAACACAACCACACCAAAATCATCCACCTGAGCTACAAATCTTCTCTATTATATCTAAATGGGTGTTGTATTCTAGTGTCTCTGTGGGGATACTGTCACTGTCATTCAAATGTACGTATATCTAACTGACGAATCCCTCCACTAGTGATGTGAGTTCTACTTATAATCAGATATAAGTAGTATGTCAGTAAACGAATTCAGTAACGTAACAATATATTTGAGCACTGGAAAGAAAGCAATCGAAGAAGAGAACTGTGAGAAGAACGTTAGAAACACACTGTGCATAATCCAACAAGCTATCGAATGTGGTGATATTCGACCAGTTTGCAAATGATGTGCAAATAAAGCATTGAAGATAAGGTATACCAAATTTATGTACCTACAATGAGTTTGTCTTAATAAATATTGCCTTCGAGCCCCACATCGGTCCTTTCTTCCTTACACTAGGTGTCGATATGCTAATGGTGACTGATCATAAATAATAGAATATTTACTTTGTGGAAATAGTTATATTAAACTAAATGGTTGGTTAGTCAGAGCTAACTTTTAATGGTGTTCAAAGAATATAGTTTAACAGATAATATAGTCTTAGCCACTGTAAACTCTATGCATTTGTATTCTATTTAACAACAGTTTTCCAATGACTTATGTAATTTTATGATTTATCCACGTATGAACATCTTCTTGTCACCATTGCTTCTTTCTTCTATATCTGAAAAACTTTGATTTTTATATTCACAATTAATTTTATTATTTTGTTGACTTAATATTTCTATTCATCTATATATACTATGATCATTCTTAATTATTATTGGACATTTGTTTTTTTACAATCAAACTGAAGTATTTAGATTGGACACTAGTTATGTATCATCTAGTCCTTTCTTTGGTTCCGACTAAATTCTGTCAGTCTGAATTTGTAATATGACCACCATGCTAGGTGGATCACCATCACGCTGTACGCTGTAAATTGTTGGTAGTAGATGGTTGAAGACAATCGGCAGGAAGTCCAATCTAAGTATCCAATACAGTTCTGAGGGAAGTCAATCACTGGCCGGAGTAGCTTATTGGTAACTTGTTTAACTGCAGCACTGGGTGACGTGGGTTCGAATTTCAGAAGGGACATTAGTTCCTCCAAGGATGTAGATATACGCCTTACTGACTGGTGAGTGCCAACTAGCACGAAACTTATGTCCAAAACTTCCTACTGACTGCTTCCAACCATCTAATGTCAAGCCAAATTATGTTGAAAACTGTAATAATCTGGTTTTAAGCAGTTAACAAGGGATATACTGATACAATAAAATGGATTCGCTTTAATCTATGTTCTATGTCCTGTTACTGTTTTATTAAATAAAATTCATTAAGAGGAGTTCGTGTATGGAGCTTTGTAATTTTTTTGCAACTACACAGTCTATCTACTTAAAATACGATATGACTGTGTAATACTATTTGGCATTGTCCATGAATAGCCATCTTCCCCGCAACATGGGGAACCACTTAAGAACGCATCGCTCACTTCTTTCACTCATCTAGGCAGAACCGTTTCAACTACCAGACTGTGATATGAATGAGGATGTCAAAGGCAGGATTAGGAAAGCAAAACAGGTCCTCATTACTCTGAAATCGGTGTGGAGATCTACTACACTCCTCAGTAAAGAACAAAATTCAGTTTTTCGACACTAAGATCAAGTCACTTCTATGTGGTTCAAAGAATTGGCGTGTCATCGGATGTATTTCCAGCAGCTGGCTTCAGAATTTTATCAACAGCTACCTCCGCTGTCTCCATACAGAAGACCAAATGACTAGAAAGGATTAGCAAAAAAGAAACTATGACATTCAGCGAGCCGGCCGACATCCTATTCCCCAAACAGCATGCTGAAGATAGTGTAGATGGGTCGGACACACTGAGGAAGCCATTTGGTGATACTGCGCACCAGTCCACAGCTCTAGTAGAACCATATTTGGAAACGGCGAGTTGAGCACGTGTCCGAGAGTGACATGGAAGAGATAAAATGTATAGTCAATCTTAGGACCAGTTGAAGAGGACTGCTGAGGACGAGGCAAAGTAGAGGTGTGCTGTTGAACCCCTATGTTTCACTCGGAACCTAAGGGAATAGTAATTTCAACGTGGTCACTGTATTACACTTGTTAACTTGTTAACTTCCATTTCGTCATACATCTTCAACTGTTTATGATTTTTCGTATTTTTCACGGTAAGAAGCATTGTTCAAATAGATGTTGTCACCCTATCAACTGAATTAATTAAGAATCTATTTGTTTTATAGCTTATCTGCTGGTCTACTACGTCAAGCCACCTATTCAACTGCGCGTCTGGGTATATACACAAATTTATTTGAACAGTATTCAAAGCTTAAGCATGAATCGCCTAACTTTTTCATGAAAATTGGTATAGCTGTTTCTGCTGGAGTATGCGGTGCATTCATTGGTACACCGGCTGAGATCTGTTTAATTCGAATGACATCAGATGGCAGGTAAGTTGAACAATTTCTCTGTTTAGCTTACATTCAAATGTATGCTTAGAATAACTAGATCAAATATGTGGTTAGTTTCTAATGCGTGTGTGACTATTATTCTCAGTTTATAATGCAATATTTCAATCTCTTTTTCAATCATAAAACTCTTGATGTCAGCAAAAGTTTGAGGTACTGAATCACTGATTTCTGATCCAACAGGTGGATGATAGAGCACTCACCTTGTTGTCCTGAGCATTATTGAACGGTCTGGAACTGGAAGAAATCATCTATCTAGTGGTGTTTGGTTTTCAATTGTTCTGAAGCTGATGCCGATCTATAACAAGGTCTACGTTAATGATTTCTGTGTACATATAATTTATCTGAAATTTATTTGTCAACTTCCCCAGGTTTAAGGATTTTCACACGCTATTAATGTAGACTCTTGAGTTGTAACCAGTACTCCACTAGGTAACATCTCTGGTGGAGGAGTACTTTATTAAATTAATCCTAATTGCAGTATCCCTCTTGAGTATTGAAGTTACTTGCTAACTGTAGGTTATCTGGCGTGATGCTCAAGATGCTGCGAATCAGTATTTTGAGTCTCTTGATTTTATCGTCCAACATTGCTCAAAGTATTCAACTTGCTTTTTTACAGGAATTCTAAAGTTGTCTTCTCTAATCTTTGCTGAGATGGTTAGGACGTGTGCTATGCATGCCTAGGCATTGCCTACCTCGATGAGCAATCTTAGCCGCTGACATAGGATCAGGTTAGGAAAGAGCTAATGGTGGTCAAACCAAAATATGGCTTCATCAGTCAATGAAATCCACAACAGTTAGTTTAAGTCAGCCAGTCACGTAGAGAGGTGTAAACTGCCTGGCTGGAGTCCTCGAGATGGTAAGAACCAATGGAGGCTGGAGACAATTGCTGATATGACTCAAAATCCTCGTTCTCGATGATGGCGCAGATGCATCCACTCCTTGTGACTTATAATACCCAATAAAACTATATTGTTCTTCGATATTACTATTGTTTTCGCCGCATGTCTCTGTTTGTTATCTCTCTTTTGAATCTTCCTCTACTCTCTTCTCTTGCTTTGTGTGTGAACCGATGCACATCTGTGCGAATTTCTGCGTTGAAACCAGTCAGTTAGTCAGTCAGTCCTATGTTTTACAAGGAACGTAAAAGAATGAAAAAAATCTGGGAATTAGCATTCTTTTTTGAGTTTAAGGAAAAGAATCACTTTACCCTCAACCATTACTAAAGATTCATTCAAATCATAACATGTTCACAATGATAATTTTTATTCCAGTTTAGAGTAATTCTAAAATAGGTATTTGCAGTTTGTTGTTGGAACTCCTACATAGTCAAGGTGTTTTGAAATGACATTTTGAAGGATAAAGTTTCTGCATCAACACTTTTGTCTTTCTGGGCTTATGGAGATGTTAGGAAAATAGATTCATTTCAATTTACTTGCATTCATCATCTGTTGTTGATATTATAAGAATAGTTTCTTCAAAATATATTTTTGATTTTTAGTGACTAATAGTGGAATCCAGAATATGCATTTCGTTTTTTTATTTGCGACTTGTTGGCGATTTCTAGTGAGTTTTAATGGTGAATTCCAATAAGATGTGTCAACAAAGACCAGACATTTTGGTTCACTACAGTCAATCAACGGGAGATACAAAGTACTCCCAAGTTTTCCAGTGGTTCTCTAAATGATTTCAACTATCACAGCACGGATCGAAAAAGCTCGGGCTGCTTTCGCTAACTTTCACCGTCTCTGGCGTAGGCTTGACATCCGGCTATCAACCAAGGGACGCGTATACTGCTCAGCAGTTTGCTCCGTCCTTCTCTATGGCGGTGAGACGTGGCCATTGAGAGCGGAAGACATGAAGAGATTGTCTGTTTTTGACCACAGATGTTTACGATCTCTTTCTCGCGTTAGGTGGTATAATAAGGTAAGTAATGTTGACGTTAGGCGTAGAGTGTTGGGCAAAGAGGGAAAATCAATCGAAGAGGCTATGAAGTTACATAGATTGAGATGGCTAGGTCACGTGCTGCGCATGCCTAACCATCGCCTCCCCCGACTGGCATTACTAGCTGATATAGACGCAGGTTGGAAAAGAGTAAGCGGTGGCCAAATAAAAACATGGCATCAATCCATGAAATCCCTGACAGTTAAACTGAGTCAGGTAGGGAGATGCAGACTTCCGGGTTGGGGCCCTCGGGACTCTAAGAATCAATGGCTGGAGACACTAGGTGACATGGCTCAAAATCGTTGTCAATGGCGCAGATGTATTCAGTCTCTTTAACCTTCATATTCCTTTCTACCATTACTCATTCTGTTTCACTTTTATACTTATCTAAATTCTATTGATTCTCTTCTCTCATTTTCTTGTCTACCTTTGTGTGCTATTTGGAACGTGGCAACTCGAACTGCTGCACTGCGGTGCCAAGTTCTATGACCCAGTGGCTGAATGGTCTATTAGTCCGTCTCGCGGTTGGAAGCTCTTGGGCTTGAACCTCAGGGGGCTGTCAACTCATGATCAAACCTGAAACACGAAGTTAACTTAAACGAGTAATGACTGATACCCGTTGCAACAGAGTTAGCTGTTGTGGCTTAGTGGATAATGCGTTTAAAACGATAAGCCCAAAGTTCAGGACTCACCTGCAATGTAGGCGCATCCACATGACGACCCCCATACAGGACGAAATTTACATCTTGGATTACACTGTTAGTCACCACCAGTCAACAATAACTTCAAATCAATCTTTAGAAATCATTGAAGCATTCGTACTGGGTGCTGACATATCAACTAGAACCCAACATTTCCGTCCAACATAATCAATCATCGGGCAATACAAAGCAAATATTGTCAACCTAATTTGTTTATCTTGATAAACAAGCCACTACTAAAACTAAGTCCCTAAGTCTTCGGGGGGTTTTAAAGCTACATTGATTGAGATGGTTCGGACATGTGCTGCGTATGTCGAGACATCGCCTCTTCCTTGACAGTCACTGCTAGCTGACATAGGATCAGGTTGGAAAAGAGTTAGTTGTGTTCAAACCAAAAACTGGTTTCAACCCATGAAATCTTTGAATGTTATTTTGAACCACACAGGGATGTGTAGCCTGTCTGATTGTAGTCGTGTTAGTGATGTGGCTCAAAGTTGTTCTCAGTGGTGCAGATGCACTATACTATGTGCATTAAAACGTCATGTTTTTTCCACATTATTATTCTTTCTGTTTTCTATAGTCCTCCTAAATCCCTTTTTCTCCCTTTTGTCCACCTTGGTATGCTACAAGGAGTGTCGCATCTTGAACTCTTAGACTTTTGTGCAAAGTTCCACTTTGGAACTCAGTCAGTGAGACAGTCAGACCTAGATCTTCTGAACAGCTTACAAGCTGTCCGGTCATAGTTGAATTATTACATAGGTTTATTCACCTACTTCAATTTTACTAGTTAAAGCTATGTTTTATTTAAAAAAAAGAGAAAATAATCAATGAATATTTTAAATTATCAGATTACCACCAGCAGAACGTCGAAATTATTCCAATGTGTTCAATGCCTTGATACGGATCACTCGTGAAGAAGGCTTACTTACATTATGGCGGGTAAGTATTATAGTATATATACATACATATAATCTGTATTTTGTCTTATGTAGTGATAATTTTGTGTCTTTAATCTTTTTTTTATTGTTTAAGTGTTATTAGTCTTTCATTAATTACTCCTTAAGAGTTTGGAATCAAGTAGACTGTTATGAGTGAATGCCTAGTAATCACTGAGCTTTTTTGAGATTATTTAACTTAATGGGTTCAACCATTCCGATAACCTAACTGATCCCGATCTGATAGTTTGACCCACATGTAACTTACCTCAGAGTAACTACATGGTATTTGGTAAATTATATTATTTTTCTGAATTGAATCTGTCGAGTGCGTAATCTGACAAAGTTTATCCCTTGAAAGGAGCTGGTTTGTTTAAATGCCCCTCCGAATTCCAGCCTTAATAGTAATAAGAATCCTGATGTTACTCGTTTATGTGGTAATCGTATCGAGACTTTATAATTGCTTATAATTCCATATTATTCTCATTATGCATATTATTACTCATATTTTCTTGCTATGTCTCCATACATTTCTGAATAAAATCTGCTGCGTAGTTGTTCACTAGTTATGTTTCCTTTGTTTGTTTGATTTCATAAATTTTTCAACTTACTTTTCAAACTTCTGACTGCAATACATAAACATTTAACTAGACCTACGTGTACCGATTATGAGCAATAATTTGTTCTCAAAACAATTATTAATACACCGTATCACAGGAGTAAGACAAAGCTGTTTACTATCACTGGTAATATTCCTGTGGTTATGCATGCCAGACTGTTGGAAGCGAAAAGACAGGAAAGACTCTAGAAGATCTGGATTTCGCGGATGATATATGTCTAATGTCACATGAACTCCAAGATTTACAGGCGAAAATCAACCAATTTGGGAAAAGACGCTGGCAGCAAAGACAGGCCAGACAGGTGAACATAACGAAGATGAAGGTGATGAAGATAATCAATCAACAACAACAAGAAGCACCCATCACTATGAACGGAAGGAATTTGAGAGGGTCACTTTCTAACTTATCTAGACAGTATCGTTACAACTACACGGCTGAAGCTGTCAAAATCAGAATCGGAAAGGCAAGGCACATATTCATCATTCTGAAATCAGTTTGGAGATCTTTTGCACTCAGCATACAGAACGCGGTTCTGGTTTCCAACACCAATGCTAAGTCAGTCAGATGTTCTAAATGGATGGGAAATTTGGCGGACGCGTTACAAAAGCGTCTCCAACAGCCCGCTGCAGACTTTTCTCAACATCTGCTTCACTGGCTCCACACTGAAGACCAGATAACAGGGCATAAAGAATTAGCATAAGAAACTCTGGAAGAGAAGCAGTCAAGAACCTAATGCTCAACAAATATTCCGAAAAACTGGAAGTAGATCGGACACAATCTCAGGAGATCGTTGAGTGCCATCGCGCACTAGGCCATCTGTCGAATGGAACTCAAGTAGGAAACAACGAGCTGGACTTTGGTCCAAGGGTGACATGGAGAAGGTCGTGTGGGGAGGAGGTGAGAGAGTATCGACGGTCATACGGCCCACTAAAGAAAATCCCAGAGCTAAGGAAAAATGGAGCTGTTCTGTTGAAGCCCTATGTTCCACTCGGGACCCAAGGGAGCAACAATAATACATTGTGCTATCTCAAATGAATCTATCTAATACGGAAATATATATATGTTTTACCAGGTGTCTTAAACCACCAGTCTTAAATTTCATCAACTGATACCGCACTTTGTTCTGGCCAACTTGGAAGTCTGGTTTGTGAAGAAATGGTGGTTTCGAAGACTATTTCGTTTTCATGTTGTGTTATTTTGAATTACTGAACTATCAAATACCTTACAGCTTCAGATATTATATATGTATATATATATATATATGCATATATATATATATAATGTTGAGTTCTTGCCTTACAAATTATTGCTGAAATATGTTTAAGTAGATTTTAAAAGACATAAGACATTGGAATGTGTCATTGACTTTTCATAGTATACTAAGCAAACTGTCTAAATGAACTTTGGTTACGTGTTCTTTTTATGTTGAATATTTATAGTAATAATGGTCAATAGGTAAATCTATCGGTCTAGGCTTAGTGTTAGCTTCTAACTACACGTGTCTTACATGAGTGATAATATGCTGTCTAACGCTTACTTGGTTTCAGTATAGAACTTAGCACAGAAGTACAGTAGTTCAAGCCGCTGCATTCCATTGTAGCACACAAAGGTAGATAAAAGACAGAAAAAAGGGGATTTTCCATCCGAATCGTTAAAACCTCAGCAATACAAAGTATAAAGAGGCAAACCACTTTCGGTAGGCTTATTTTAACTTTGTAGACAGATAACTTTGAATGAATTTTCCCTACATAATGAGTGGCAAACATTGAATATATATGTTCGATTATAGCACTCTTTATTAATCCATGGTGACCTTTCTGTAACCAAGTGGAATAGTACTCCTTGACTGTTTTAGATAAATTACGCATCGAACGACCTGTATATTTTGCTCCAAAGGGGCAAGTGAATTGTTGGATACACATAGAATTGGTTAAATGCGATAGTTTATCGTTAGAGTTGCTGAAGAACACTGGGCATCAGGAGAATACAAATTTTAATGTAACAACAAAGAATTTTTTTCAGGGCGTTTGATATTCTCCTCTTTAGGATGTCGGCCAGAAGGTTGCCTTTGAGCGCCACATTCATGCAGAACATCTTCTTCGGCACAGAGGTGGGTTTTTCTTTGTTGATTTATACTGTCAAACTTTAAATGGATAAGAAGCGTAGGTCGCTTAAACTGAGTTTTGTATTGAATGTAAGGGCTAAATAGGGGCCATTTATGGTAATTCCATTATGGGTAAAATTTTATTTTGATAAAGTCTCACAGTGTTATACAATAATATTTACTGGTGACGTTTTGAGCACAATTTATAGTGGCTCATAATCCTATCAAGTTACTCACACAACTTTCTAACTTTTTTTTATCTAATTCCATTATTTTTCATCGCTTTATCTGATTAGTAATAGTAATTTTACATATTTGCAATATGAGTGATGAGTCATTCCTATCACACATGTTGGGTGTAGATTCTATGAACCAGGATTCAGCAATCAACCTCTCTTTGAATCTTTATTATACCCTATTTGATTAACTGTCATATGATGAAACGCTAATCTATGCGCTATAACATTGATCAAATTGCCTAGTTTTTTTCTCTCCATAGTTCACTTAGTAATAGTTAGTTAACCACAAGTTCAAATCATCACACGATGCATCAATCATGATATTTTCCATTTTTTTGCATCCCGAGTGAAGCATGGAGCTTCAAGACACTTGTGTAAACTGAGTCAGTTCTATGATTTGTGTCCTGTCGATGGTAGTGTCTTAGGTAACAAGTCACATATTACGTATCTCGGAATACGATTTCCTTCTAATCTTTGCTTGTTGTCTCATTTATTGTTAATTTCTAAGGAAATCATTCGTTTGATAACTTATATTACATAAGGAAATTGAAACTTCTTAACATAACTCAACGCCTTCTAAAATTTATCAATTCATGTATTCTATCCATTCGTCTATTTGTTGGCTCCCCTTATTCTTCCCTGGGTTCCTCAAAAAAGACGTTTTTATGTTACGTAGGATTAATGGGATGCTGCCTTTGAGCTAACTGACAAATAGTTGTTGATAGGCATTTTAATTCTTTTTTCAAACAATTGGCTAAAGTTATCTTGTCGGGTCGTACCCCAAATATTCATCAACTGTACGACAACGGCACATGCCAAGTGATCCACAACGGAAAACTCAGCGAAGCGTTTGGAGTAAACATAGGAGTCAGACAAGGGTGCTTATTATCACCAATGATATTCCTAATTGTGGTGGACTGGATTATGCGTCGTCAGACAGTGGGAAACGAGAAGACAGGAATATCCTGGACCGACGTGAAGAACCTAGAAGACCTGGATTTTGCGGATGATTTATGTTTGATGTCACACAAAATCGAAGACTTACAAGCAAAAACCGACAAACTGGTCGAAGAAGCAGCAAAGACAGGACTCCAGGTGAACGTAGACAAGACGGAGGTCATGAAAATAACCAACCAACAACAGCAGCAGCAACATCCAGTGCCAATCACCATCAACGGGAGGGATTTGAAAGAGGTTACTTCATTCACTTATCTAGGGAGCATTGTCTCAACCACAGGAGGAACGGACGAGGATGTTAAATCGAGAATCGGGAAGGCGAGAAATACATTCATCAACCTGAAACCAATCTGGAAATCTTCGTCACTCACCATCAACAACAAAATTCGGATCTTCAATACAAACGTGAAGTCAATTTTGCTTTACGGATCAGAAACTTGGCGGGTCAGCAAGAATATTTTCAACAGGTTGCAGACCTTTATCAACAGCTCTCTTCGTTCTATACTCAAGATCAGATGGCCGGAAAGAATCACAAACAAGAAGCTATGGGAACAAACGAAACAGGAACCAATCGCCCAACAAATATGCAGGAGGAAGTGGAGATGGATTGGACACTCGCTGAGGAGGCCGTTGAGTGACATCGCGCATCAGGCCCTCGAGTGGAACCCGAAAGGGAAGCGGCGAGTGGGACGTGCAAGGGTGACATGGAGGAGATCGTGTGAGGAGGAGATGAAACAGTTTGGAATAACATGGACGCAAGTGAAAAGTACAGCAGAAGACAGAAGCAAGTGGAGACGTGCAGTTGAAGCCCTATGTTCCACTAGGAACCCAAGGGAACAATAATAATAATAATAATCTTGTCGGGTACTGAACACACATCGTCTTTATATTCTCAACTTTCTCTTGGTATCTCTTCGGATAAAACTATGAAGAAATTTCATAAAAATTTGTTGTCGTACGGCTAAATATAAAAATTCAATCATACCATATTTAGTAAGGGTGTTATGTGAAGAGACAAATGTCAAAAAAAAATTATGAACCTAATTAATAATATGTAAATCAGCAGTAACTTATTGCCAGAACTATTTCTACTATTACTATTATTATTATTATTATTATTCCTTTGGGTTCCGAGTGGAGCATAGGGCTTCAACAACACATCTCCACTTTGTTCTATTTGGTGCTATTCTCTTCAGCTGGGTGTACGATTAGCCATAATCTCTCATCTCCTCCTCTCACAATCTCCTCCATGTAACCGTCGTACCGACGACCCATTCGTCGTTTCCCATTGGGATTCCATTCGAGTGATGGTCTGGGTCGCGATGTCATTCGACGGCCTCAAATTATATCCGATCCATCTCCATTTTCTCCTATCACTGTATATATTATTTTTCCACTAGTTTCACTTGTCGCAGTCTCATTATTTTTACTATTTTATTAATCAATTTTAATTGTAAAGGGAAATGAATTGCTGCAATATGTACAATTCTGAAAACTCTATTCTGCAAAGTTATTATTCAAATCACGAAATATATATTTAATTCAGTTTAAATTTTTCCGTCGATTATTTGGACCGAAGTGCTCAGTCTCAGGTTGACATGTCGGCGCCTAGTGCAGATGCCTTGGCAATGTCTGGTCAGGTAACTTGAAGTCAGTTGGTGGATGGTAACTTGCAGTGGAATCCAGGAATGCAGGTACGTCCAGTGATGAGTCTTAAATTGGACGAAACACGCGTCCTGGATTCCACTGCTAGTCACCATCCGACCACTGACTTCACGAAATATACACATTAGATTATAGGAAATATTAAAAAGACGGTTGCAGTGAAGAAAAACTTCTTTTTGACTAAGTTATCATTTAGACTGTTCATATGTGTATTTATAGTGAATGGGTGAGCAAGTTCCAGAACTGTTTCCTGTCAAGGGTCAAATTAATAAAATTTCAAATAGGGATTAAAATGTAATAATAAACAGGAAGACTGGATAAAAAACGTAGTAGGATCATAATTATTGTGAAAATTGACTTTTTGTGCAATTAAGTAATAACAAAATAGGCCTGTAGTTCGGATAAAAAGAATATAGTAGGGGAAATCGAAGTTAAAGGTGCCGAAATCACAAATAAACATGAAGATTAGATGAGAAAGATAATACGATAATCGCGATTGACAGAAGTGACCTTTTTATGATGGCCATGATAGAGACAACAGTTAGACTTATTTCTTTTGAATACATAGTGTTGGCTTGAACTTTTGAATCGCTAGTGCCTTAGCTATGCCCAGATGCCTTGATTTGGAGAGGTTTGATCGGATCGTGTATATGACTTTAAAGGTCTTTTTAAGTGGAGCTGGATGTCCCGAGTTCACCAGATGTCCTGTTACCCAACTATATACACACTTGCGTTCTCCCTTCGCTAGTAAGTAAGGCTGCATATTGTTCCCGAGTGTGTTTTACAAGCGGATGCACGGTACAGCTAATGTATTCAGCTCTAAAATATCAAGTGAACTGGCATGTGCATGTTGGAGTGACCCGATGCGACAGCTTGTCTTTTAATTGCTCGCTGAATAGTTTCTAGAAAGAAAATATCACTCGTAGACTGATGGCGAAGTATGTTTTATTGAGAGATTTCGAAAGCTGTTTACGGAGAATTTCTGCTTTAGCATCACTTTTAAGTTCGAGATTAAGCATCAGCATCTTTTGGTGGGTGACTTGGACGTGTTTAAAAGTTTTATTTAGATTCTTGTTCATGAATCTGAATGGGAACATATTTTCTATTAAGGTTCTTCGGAAATTTAGCAGTTCTTTGTCAATAGATTCCTCGGACCATCGAGGAAAGAGAGTTATCGGAATAAAGTGATTATTATTATTATTGAAGCTTTAGCTGTGGAATGTCAGTGGCAATGTTGTTTTTTGCGGCGTGGGTTTGCTAGCCTCATGCCAAACATCCTTTTTTTACAGGCTTAATGTCAATCGGCTAGTAAACTAGGGGAGGTTTAGGAGTGCATCGATCTGGAATCGAACCGGGACCAGATACGCGTATTTAGAGAGCACTCTACTACTCAAATCGTCGACACGCACTACATGATAATGCTTTTCATCAGATAAGCAATTATTTTATTTTGAAAGAAGCCTAATTTTTTCTCCATGTTGGAAATAATTGTAGTGGGTATACTGTAATATCTTGAGCGGTTCACAGAGTATATCTTTCCCTGAGGTCGAGAACATTTGAGGCAAAATAATAATACTGATAGATCCCCCCTCCCGAATGTTAACTTATTGGTTGTGCTACTTTGATGTGCTGCACTTTTCTGAAAGGTTCTGCATTGATATTTGTCTGTTGATATAATGATTGACTAGTTATAGTAGCATATTATTCTTGAATAAACACCCCCCACTTCTTGACGCTACATTGTTCATTTGTTTCCTTAAGTCCTTTTTCCTCATTTTTTTAAAAGTCTTGTGTGAATCATACATGTCTATTTTTGTCAGTGGTAACATGAATATAAAGATTTATCTGAAATGTCATTCAAAGTTGCCTTGTCGTACTTTTTAATCGGTCAGACCATATAATACTTCTGTATTGAGTTCACTTAAGCACACACATGCACACAAGTAGACTAATCAGTGTAGGACTTTGTTTAGCAGTCCACTAGTTCAAGTTAAAACATGTTGAGAAAGTATACGTAAATAAAAAGAAATTAAGGATACTACAATGAACTAATGTAAAGGGGTTCAGTATTTTGAAGATAATAACTTGTGAGTGTGATTGATTTCCTGTAGGCAACCTACATCTTCGTAAATAGACCAAATCAATAGTCAAGGTCCGCATAAATTAATGTCATATATTTTGTCAGAATAAATTTACCTATTTTTCTATTGGCACAATAAGTCCCAGTCACCTCGATCTGTAAAGGCTTACAACCTTATTGACCCCTGCTTATCTTCTTCAGTAGACACGCTATATCCAGCCTTAACACTACCTGCTATGTGTTATTGTAAAACACCGCTCAATACACACATACTTCGGCTGGTAGCAGGGACCAAATATAGCTAGGTTGGCTAATGCTTAATAATTTTCCCTGTTCTCCTGTGGAGATTACATCGACAATCAGTCAACGACAGTCTATTTGACTTCTAAAATAGGCTTACTGATCGACACATTCTATTACTTTGCTTTCTTGGGTTCAAACGAATCTTGTAGCAACACCATACATTTGATAGGGATAAAGCGAATGCAAACTGTATTCATATTTCAATTTTTTTTTCATGATCACGTTGCATGCCCGCTCAAACTCAGCTAACACTTTTCCTAGAAAAAAAATCAAATATCGTGGCATTAGAGTCAAGTCAACTCATACTGCCACTTAACTGTTTAATAGTTGTGACTTTTGTTTATTAAGTGGCACTCTGTGAACCATTTGACCCAGTGATTGATTGTCATAAACCTTAACAGATGAGAGATATGTAACCTTAGGATTATGTGTTTCATTCGTCATTACGTTCAGGTTTGTAGTGAATTCTACTTCTACTCGTCTTAATTGCTTTCATTACATCTAAGGAAAAATAGGATTTGAACGCTTAAAGGGAAAACCAAACTTAGTCACTGTTATGTCACTTATCACCAATTTATTTCGTGTTGATTTGGAATTTTCTTTTTTATTCTTTGCCTCCTGTATAGAACGTAGGGGTTTAAAACTCAAAGTCTCAGTAGCGGTGGTGATGTTGTCGGGGGATGGAGTCGCTAGCCTCATGTCTAACCTTCCCTCTTTTTCGGGTTTAGAATCAGCTAACTGAGACTTAGGAGTGTGTTGACCTGGGTCGAACTCGGGCCTCGCGTGTGAGACTGGTGAACATTCTACCATTAACATTTAATCTTTTACCAATCACATCATTCTTTTATACCAGCTTTGCTTATTATTCCTTATTTCACCTTACTTAGCAATAAGTAATTTCATGAAAACATAATTGATCGATTGAATCATTTTTGAATTCAGATCGATGGGTTCTGTGCATTTCGACAGCATTCACTATAATAGTGTAAGTACTGTTGATGTTTCGATATTTCGTTGGTTTAGTTGTTTATTGTCTTATGTACAAAATGTGGTATGTAGTTTGCTTATTCATATTTTTTAAGTTTAATTTAATTTTATAGGGTGCAATTCCTACAATGGGACGAGCAGCTGTAGTTAATGGTGCACAGCTAGCCACTTATTCTCAGGCTAAACAGAAAATTCTAGAAACGGGTAAGTCACTCATCCGTATGGCTATTCAAATTGGTTATCAATACTGATAGTGGTATATATATCTCTCTCTATAACTTTTTTCCCTTAGCTTCAACGGTCTAACTAATATTTATGTTGGTTAGAGAACCATTGGAAAATCTGAGAGTACTGGACAGCTGTTTCGTCCTAGTTTGGGACCCTTCAGAAGTACGCACCCACCGGGGTTCGAACCCAGAACCTTCTGGTTACAAGGCAAGCTCGTAGACCATCAAGCTACTGGGACCCGATCCAATGGCCCATGAATTCTAACTTCTACCAATTCACGACATAGCACAACCTCTAGCCAATGTCTTAGGCGAGTATTTGATAACTTCATCATGTTCCATAGTTAATGGAATATTTGTTATATGACAACTATAATATGTTTCATTTTGGCTGATGGTGAATGGCAGTAGAATCCAGGATGCACATCTCATTCTGTCTAGAACTCGTCATCTGGATGTACCTGCATTCCCCTAGGCGGAATGATGGTATTTCCACTGAGACCCGAACCCGCACTCATCATTTCAAGCACCAAAGCATTATCTTCTAGGCATCCGTACTTGGAGTCTATATGTTAACAGAAACTGAGCATTTCAGTTGAACGTAGTCAACGGTAAATGCAAATTGACCAATTGGATCCACCATATCTTCCATGAGGACGAATATTCATTGATGACATGGGCTGGTGGTCGCGCTAAAATTACAAACTCGTAGAGGTTGGAATTCATGCTGTGGCCGTTGGATCGGGTCCAAGTAGCTGAGCGGTCTACGAGCTCGACTTGTAAGGGAGAGGTCCTGGATTCGAACCCTAGTGGATGTGTACTATCGAAGTGTCCTAAAAACTAAGACGAAACAGCTGTCCAGTACTTCAGGACTTCCAATGGTTCTCTAACTGATATTGCCTTGTGATCAAACTTGAAACATATTCTTTATTCACTAATCAGTGTACTCAAATTTATAATGGGCATCTGTAGACGATAATTTTAAAAAAATCGTATTTTTATGATATTCTATTATTGGTTAACTGGATGACCTCAACAGAAGACTGTTGTAAGACTTCGTGTTTTAGAAACACAAACTTTAGTTTTAGCTTGATTTTGATGTGAATTCGTCCTGTCTTTTTAGACAGGAGTTTCAATAAAAGTTAAGCAGAATTACACTCAGAGGCTGGATCAATCTTTAAAAATGTTATGCTCAAGTCACTTTTTATTTCTGTTGTTTTCTGTGGTAATATTTATCATCCAGAGATTGGTTGACAATCGACTACGTGTTTAATAACTTAAATGAACATAGTGTTTCGGGAAAAAATGTAAACATATTACATTTATTAAACAGTTAACACTATTAAATATCCATTGAAATGCTAATGTAATCTGGATTTTCAATACCATTGTCAAGTCAGTGCACTCCTATATGATTCTAAGACTTGGTGCGTGCGTAATAAAAGTCGTATTTTCAACAGTTGCCTTCGCTTGATACTGAAGACCGGATGGCAGGCTAGAAAGAATAGACAGTCAGCAACAATAGACTGCAGAAACAAATCAGCTAACAACCTCTTGCCAAGCAAATATACAGCATCAAAAATTGGAGATTGTTTGGACATTCACTGAGGAGACCTTTGATTGGTGGTATACGTCAGGTAGGTCGTCGAGTGAACCCCTGAATGGGTATGGGTCTGAGAGTGACATACAAAAGATTATATGAGAGTAATAAAATGAAAGCTTCTAGGCAGTCGTGGAGCCATTTGAGAGTGATGATGACAGAGAACTGAGTGCAATTGGGGAGATGTGCCGCGGAAACGCCTTACTGCACTTGGAACTCAAGTAATGAATAATAATAATGCTGGTATAATGTTAACATTAAAAATTATGAAGAATAGTAAGTTTGGTTTAAAAACCCCACAAACAATATTAAGGCAGTTCCATTGATAGGAGGAAATCACCAAACACGGACTTAAGATTCCCAGTTATGTTACACTATTTGGCTGTGTATACACGTGTATTCGTCTATTACTTCAATCAAGAACCTATTTCTCAACAAATATGCCGAAGAAGCTAGAGGTGGCTCGGACACGCTGAGGGCATCGTCGGGTGACATCACCCTCGATTGGGGAACGACGAGTTGTTTGTGAGTTCAATGGTGAAATGGAGGAGATTTTGTGAAAAGGAGGTGAATGCTTACAGTCAATCGTGGAGTCAGCTTAAGAGGACTTCAGAGAACCGGAGAAAAATGAAGATGTGCTGTTGAAGTCCTATGTTCCAGTTGAAACCCAAAGGTGTAATGATAAATAATAATAATAATAAAAATTGTTATACGTAGAGTGTTTCCACTCCTCATTTATTTCGCTTTATGTTTTAGGTTATTTAACTGATGGATTAGGTGTACATACACTGGCTAGTCTATTAAGCGGTTTTACCACATCTGTATTCTCTTTGCCTATTGATATTGCAAAGACAAGAATTCAGAATATGAAAATTATCGATGGAAAACCGGAATATAAAAATATGGGGGTAAACATGTTTAACTTTCTCTTCTCTTCTGTATATGGCGTAATGTTTTTACTCTTGTTTTCTTTTTTTAAAAGCAATTGAATGGTGAGGAAACACTGAAGGCAACTTGAGGAGGTTGAGCCATGTTCGCATTTTAAACTGTCTTTTTTATATTGAGATGAAAAAACGGCAGAAAGGTCACAGACTATGATCTTTTGGATCAAAGATTCGAAAGAAACAAAAGGGACAAATTGTGTGCCATTTGTGGTCTGGACTACCGAACATGTATTGGACACTAGAGCTACTAAGAAGGTGGGGATAGGTCCCACGCGTAGACACACATTCAGATGAGGCCGGACCACGGTCGAAATGGCAGTAGAGTGGACCAATGAATCAATGGGGCAAATGTTATTGTAGTTCCGTTGACAGAAATTAATCGAAGCGTAGCAAAGAGGGCATGTAGTATCTGAGAGAATGGAGTCGTCTGAGTCAGAGGACAGGGCGATTGTCAATGGAGAATGCTGTGGTCGATACGGAAGAAGCATGGGCGTTTGATAGTAAGGGATTGAAAACATTACATCCAGAGAAGGTAGATGACATGGGCCAGTCGGAGACGCTAAAGCACTCGGAGCCAAGTGGAACGATGGGGAGCTCCGGTTTGCGACTGTTGCGGCAATATTCATGGATGCAATTGATGCGTTTTGATGTTCATTTTTCTGTTCAAAATATGATGAAAGTCATATGATTACATTCTTTGATAAGTCTTTGTAAATTATGTAAAACTGTAGGTGTGTTTAGTCCAAGCTTGCCACTTTTTATCGATTCACTCTCACGTCTCTATATGTAATCCTCCATACGAGTGAGTGATAATGTAGGATAGGAATAGTGCTGGATTGCAAATTGACGGAAGTTGGAGGTTATGTATCATAGAAATCCAAACCACTGGTTGGGTGGCAATTTAATAACCCAATGATTATGAGTCCGATTTGCTCACAGACAGTTGATGTGATAAGCAACTCCAAAACCGTATTTATTTAAACAAGGAAGTTAAATCCTGTGAGTTCTCTGAATAGTAATTGAAAAGATGTTTATGGACAATAGTAGAGTTTGAGGAACTCTACTAATTTCTTGATTAGATATAGCATACAGTGATAGAGTAATATTTATTGGATGACCTTTCGAACACAATGCATTGTTTCCAATCATATCATACTGAAGATCAGATGACAGTCAGAAAAGATAAGCAATAAGGGACTCTGGCAATGAACCATCGAAGAAGGAAATGGAGATGGATTGGACACATGCTGAGTGACATCAAACTCACTAGGCCATCACCAGAGTAAAACTTAGATGGGCAAAAATGTTTTCCGCATTTTCCCGAGAGTGACATGCAGGAGATCATCTGAGAAGGAGGAGAAGATGAAAGCTTACAGGCAATCGTAGGGCCGGCTAAAAATTACTTCAGAGAACAGAATGAAATAGAGATATGCTGTTGAAGCCCTATGTTCCACTCTCAACGCAAGAAAATAATAATGATAATCCTATAAACTGTAACTACAAAATTTCGAAACTTGATGTTTTTATTTCTCTTTCTTCCTTCGTGTTTTTCATAGGAGTAATAGAATTTTTCAGATATCTGGGTTAGGTACTGAGTCATTCTGATTGATTCAATTCTCAATTGATCTGATAAAATGGTTTCAGGTGTCGATCTCTCTCTCTCATATCTGCGACCATACCATGGTCAAAACACTGGTTCTCACCCAATCACCAAGGTTAGGCAACGTTGGGCCGGTTTAGTACTTGCATTGGTGACTGACTGGGAATATCACATGCTGTTGACTTTATCATGAGTCGGTGGTGTAGGGATAGTATGCTCGTCAACCATGCCCGCTGTCAGGGTTCGATTGTCAGCTGATACACTCCTACATCTCACCTAGCCACTGGTAAGCCTGAAAAGTACGGAAGATTGAACGTGAGGCTATTAACCGAACGTCTGTAAAACCAGCATCTCACTACTGAAACTTCTAAGCTCAAATTTGAGGCCCTATATTCCACATGAAACGCAAAAGGATGAAATCAGTCTGTGTCCCCAGCCTGTGGCTTTTTCTCATCATATTAGTGGGCTTGTGTGTGTAGAACTGCATGTTGTGCCATAGATTTCTTATATCATTATGGTCTACAAGTCTGGGTTTCGCTCCGTTTTTGTGCTCAGGCAGTCTAAGTGACCCCAGCCTACTGCTCTTTGACCAATGTATTTTACCTCAAATGGAAAAGAAAGAGAAATTTAAAAAATCGCGTTTTGTAATTTATGTAGCTTCACAGTTGGTATAATTAAATAAACAAGAAATTGCATTGGAAACGTGTTACCCAGTGAATAATATAGTATTTCACTGCATATGATGGATCCAGTTAAAACGAGAATTCATATAGCATTCCATACCACCAAAGTTTCCAAGTTTTGTACTTACAATATATTAATTTTAGGAATTCTTATCCTTATCTATAGACAGGATCATTGAACGATGAAAAGATCACTGAAAAGCAGTGAAATGAGTTTTATGAAAGAAAAAGCATTCAGCGAAAAGTTACTCATTTCGGCGATGTCATTCTTGAGCTGTACAGTCGCATATATATGTAGTTAATTTTCTTAGCAACAAAATGAATATTTCAAAAATTTGTCATTAGAATTGTAAATTTTAGATAACAAATTTCGTTAATTGGTTAGAAGCTGAAGTAAGATTGAATAAGCAAGTTGAGTAACCTAAACTAATTGACAGGGTTGAGTAGAGCTCGGCTAGAATTAAAATTGAACAAAAGTGAAGTTTAAAACAGTGGTAATAAGGAGTAGAGATTTGGTGATAGGTGGGGGAATAAAATATTTTACAGTTAAGAAACGAAAAACAATTATGTATTCGTTGTTATGATAGATCAGGTCCACTGTAGATTTAATGAATGAACAAACTTCTTTTGTATGCAGAGGTCAGGATTTAATATATGAATTGCCATTGCTTCTGCTGTCTGAAGAAGTTTGATTCATACTCTTTTAGCAGGATTCCCACATATTCTGTAGATAACTTTGAAGTTACTTTGCGGGTTCGCTTGGTTTTCTGATTCGATCAGGTGTTCCCTTAATAGAGCTTCGGGGGGACGTTTTTTCTGCTTTATAAAACCATGAGGGTATGTGTTCGATGATACGTTTTGATAGCAAGCGCTGGGTACGGCTGACATACCTAGCTCTACACGATCAGGTGAATTGGTAGATGCGTTTGTAGAGAAGGTGGTTGTCTGTGTCATTTGTTATTACTATGAATAAATGAAATGTTAGTGACTGTCGGGATACAGTTTTTCCAGTTGAGCATTCGAGTCGTGTGGATCGGGGGGGGGGGAGAGAAATACTTTCCTTTCAATGTTTTCACCATAAACGTCTAGTATAATTTACATTTATTTTTATACTAGTTTTCTTTATTATTTCCCCTTTGTTTAGGATGTTATTTTACGTGTAATACGCAATGAAGGTTTTCTGTCCTTATGGAAAGGCTTTACACCATATTTCCTACGTATTGGACCACATACTGTGTTGACATTCATTTTCTTAGAACAACTAAACAATGCGTATATTAGAAATGTACTAGGCGATAAAAGTGGTCAACGAGCTGGTGGACTTTAACGCTGTTCCTCTCATCGTCACTTTTTTACTTTGCCACTTTATATGGCATTTATAATTATTTTGGAATATATATACTAATGTATGTCTACTAGTTGTGGTGCATTCCCTACTTTATTTTGTTGTCTCCTCCTTAAAATGCCTTAAAATTATAACACCCGCCTCCGGCCCTCAGTGTTTATACTTAAACAAGTATTTTGTTACGTTATCATTTGTGTTTTTTTGTTGAATGTTCAATGTGAGTGAGTGCTTTTTCAATGTGTTGTCTTCTTTTTTATATTTTAATTCTTTTTCCAATGTTACCGATGATGATGTTGATGACGATGATTTTTGAATTTGTTTGTTTCTTTGTTTACTTTCTGACAAAATGTGTTATAGTTTCTTTCTAATGCATGTATACATCCTTAAATTTCACTGAGGACAATGATGACAATTCGAAATTTGTATGTTTTATTTCATTCGACATTATTTTTGTTAGCTTATATCTATCTATCTTATTTTCCCCTCAAGGGTGTTTGTAGAATATTTATTAATTGATAGCTAGACTGACTGACTGACTGACTAAATAACTAACTAACTAACTAGGTGATATAACTGTGATGATTACAGTGATCTGGTTAGCCACTGTCTGCTGACTGGTAGACCGTGAGACTAGTCAATACTTCAATGGTGGTTGATTCGGATCCTGTCGGAAGATCTCATCTCTTTGGTATGACATGAACAATGAATTACTTGTTGTTTTTCTTTTCTATGAATGCATTGTGTTAACAAACAAAACAAACACTTTGTTTTTTGAAGTTTATTCAATGTGTACAATGTTTATTTGTTTATTTATTTTTTTTAAAATTTTGTCTATTTGTTTTATTTACATCGACGAAGTTTATTCTAATTGTTTCCTTTTTGAATTTTCTGTATTTCGCCTTTTTTCTTCTTTTTTGTTGTGTGATGACGACATAAAACTTATCGATTGTCAGGGTGTTTTTCTTCTTGATTTTATGAAATCGAGTTTTGTGCGCTTTGATTAGACCATAAACTTATTGATTGAAATGTCTTTGACAAGTGTTACGCATGCCAAGTCATCGCCTCTCTCTCCACGAGGTGTGTTAGCTGATATACGATTAGGTTGAAATAGAGTTCAGGCGACAGTGTTCAAATCAAAACTTCGCATCAGTCCGTGAAGTCTTGCACAGTTGACTTGAACTAGTCATGTAGGTAGGTGTAGACTGCCTGATTAGAGTCTATGAGAGACTAAAAGCTAATGGCAGCTGGAGACTGTTAGTGACATTACTCAAAATCGTTCTCACTGTTGATTACAGTTTTGTATGCTTTTATGTGGAGTGTGGCAACTTAAACTGCTGCACTTTTCTGCAATAAAGTTCTACATCGATAATTCGATTCAATCAGATAATATACAATCAATAGTTTCGTCCGATTAATGTTTGTCAGACAAATTATTGTAGTACAGTCATGCTCTATGCTAACTCAATAACTAAAAAACATTGGTCTAATATTTCTATAGCTTTAGAGTATGTTGTATTCCTTTCCTTTATGCCTAAATTCTGTCAATTGATTAGCATGTACAGTATCATCAAAGTGAATAAACTTAGTTATTATTTACTGGACTTGTTATTCGACTCTTCCAAATTTATTCCCTTTATAGTGATTGGTGTTGATATGGTCAGATTGATGATGGATGTCGCCTACCAATATTCTACGTCTGCTAGATAAATCCCCTCTACTACATAACTGAGAACATACCGAGATGCTTGGAAAGAATATTTTTATCATGAGCTGACATTGGTTAGAGAACCATTGGAAAACCTGCAGGAAGTACTATACGACTGTTTCGTCCTAGTTTGAGACTCTTCATCAGTATGGGTGGGTGCGTACTGCCGAAGAGTCCCAAACTAGGACGAAACAGTTGGCTGTCCAGTACTCCGTGCAGGTTTTCCAATGGTTCTCTAACCAATGTCAGCTCATGACGAAATCCTGTAACCAATCAATCAAATCCCTACAAACCAACACTAGAATATATTTACACAATAACATATGACTTAACAAAATCACCAAGGTTATGTTGATTAGTCTACAGTCATGATCAATAAATTGGTGGGCGTTATTTTACGTAGGTCTATTCTGATTAGTTTATTTCCAGGCTGGACATCGATCAGTTAGTCAATCAGAATGACCAATTTTGAGGTATAGGAGGGGTAAAAAATAATTAGTGGATTCAAAATCAGTTAATTTGGAAGGTTTATTTATTTATTTATTTAAACGCATTAAAACTTGGTACAATATGGCACCAAGAAGGATGCGCCACACAATAATAATAAAACAACATAGATGAAAAAAAAGGAAGGAAGGCAGGAAAAGAAAAAAATATATATAAGTAGAGAACGAATAATGAACTTCATCTGGAAGGAAAACACTCATTCTTAACAGGTTCAAACAGTGTTCGTTAACTATCATCGGGAATGGAAGAAAGAAGGAAATCGCAACACATTCGCCATTGATTACGATTCTTGGCCATATCCGATAACGTTTCGAGCCATCGATTTGAGCTATCTCTCAGACCCCAACCAGGGAGTCGTGACACACCAACCGATGCTAATCTAGCACAGAAATCCTTCATCCCACGACACCACGTCATGGGCTGACCACCTCTCCGCCTTTTCCATCCCGTCCCAGGGCTAGCGAACAGAGACCTGTACGGAAGCCTCTGGGGTGACATTCGCAGTACATGTCCAAGCCACCGGAGCCGGTGTTTCCAGATGATGACATTCAATGAATGGTGATCTCCACTGTGTTCAAACACACGCCGCCGAACCTCAGAATTACTCACGCGATGATGCCATCGAACGCAAGCAATCCTGCGGAGACAGCGGTGATCGAACACGCAGAGTCGCCTCACATCCTCAGCTCGGAGAGGCCAGGTTTCACAGGCGTAGAGCAGCGCAGCCCGCACCGAAGCATTGTATACCCGACCTTTGACAGCCAGGCTAACGTCGCGACGGCGCCAGAGGTGGCTCAAGTTGATGTATGCCACCCTAGCTTTCATTATACGGTTGGAAATCTCATCCGTCACCCCTCCGCCAGCACTCACACAACTACCTAGGTATACAAACTTATCGACAACTTCAAGCGGTTCACCCGCAAGAGTGAGTGCAGGTACAGGCTCCTGCCAATCTTGTAACAGTACTTTGCACTTAGACGGCGCAAAGCACATACCATACTTACAGACACTGATCGCCAACTGATTAAGTGTGATTTGGGCAGCCTGCATGCTATCGCACAGTAAGACGATATCGTCTGCATACTCGAGGTCGAAAAGTCTATCTCCAGGTAGCAGATCTACACCACCTTCACGCACATCCTTCAGAGCTGACTCCAGAATGTCATCGATGGCAAAGTTAAAGAGAAATGGTGAGATTGGGCAACCCTGTCTAACCCCACTGTTGGTTGGGAACAGTGATGATAGTTGGTTGTATGCCCTCACTCTACCTGAGGTGTTTCTGTATAGGGCTTTCAAGATGTTAACAAATTTCTCAGGTACACCTCTCTCTAACAGACAGTTCCAGAGCACAGTTCTGTCCAACGAATCGAAGGCAGCCCTAATATCAAGAAACACAACGATCGTTGGCCTGCAATACGTGTGGCGGTGTTCCAACAACTGACGAAGGGTGAACACATGATCAATGCATCCACGACCTGAACGAAACCCAGCCTGCTCTTCGCGAATCAATCCTTCGCGTATTTTGCGCAGTCTGCGAAGCATGACAGCAGCCAATATTTTAGACGCAACTGGTAACAGACTGATACCCCTATGGTTGTCACAGGAATTACGTCGACCCTTTTTAAAGATGGGGACGATAATGGCTTCGTTCCACATTGATGGTACGCTCTCTGTCTCCCACACCCTCCTGAACAACCCAGTTAGAGCCATTATGAGAGTCTCGCCACCGTCTTTAAAAAGAGCCGGGGGTAATTTGTCTGGGCCGGACGCCTTATGGCGTTTCAGAACTTGGAGTTCCTTACGGACCTCCGCTTCGGTGGGTGGGTCGGTACTAACCGACCAAGGAGCACTCGGGCTAATGATAGTAGACAATGAAGCTGGTGGCCAGCTGAACTGCTTCCCGAAGTGCTCTGCCCAGCGTTCCAGGCGTCTCTTCAGGCTGGTAATTGGAGTGCCATCTGCCTCACAGACCGTCTCGCTGACACCTTGTTTCTTGCTGCCGGTGGCTCGTATGAGTTGGAACAGCTTCCGACTGTTGCCAGATGCAGCAGCTGACTCCATCTCATACGCACGTTCTGACCACCAGGCTTCGCGGTCCTTATGTAAACACTGTCTAATCTTGCGCGTGAGCGCCTTTCGCTGATTGTTGTATTCACTGCCAGTCGGAATGGACCGGCGTTCATCCAGGAGTTGCAAGGAACTCGCAGAAACCCAGTAGTTGTTAGCGGAGCATTCTTTCAAGCCGCAAGCGGCTACACTCGCCTTTTGCATGGCACCGTGCACATGAAGCCAGTGTTCATCTATACTACTTGGGGGGTTGCTGGCAAGCATTGTTTTCAACTCGTTCTGATATTTCAAAGAAGTAGCAGGTGCTACTAGTTTGCTCACATCAACGCTTAGACGACGGTTTTTACGAACCCCACCAAATCGCAAGACGAACTTGGCACACACTAACGCATGATCGGAGTCCAGGCATGTGCTCCAGAAGGAGCGACAGTCTTGTATGCATCCTCGCCACCGGAAGCTGACCGCAATATGATCAATCTGAGTCCAAGCTTGCTTCGCAGAGGGAGGACGCCAGGTAGCGCTACAGCGATGGCTGTGCCGGAAGTTGGTGCTGGCTAGAAATAGGTTGTGATCCGCGCAAAGCTGCAGAAGACGGTCCCCATTATCTGACCTGCGACCATGTAGTCCCCACTGACCACCTAGACGACTCTCCTCTGAGCTTAGACGCCCGACCTGTGCGTTCAAGTCCCCAGCTAGCACTACGATATCCCTCCGACCCGCCTGTTTCAACAGATCGCTCAGTTGGTAGTAAAACTCATCCTTCATTGCATCCGGGCTGCAATCCGTCGGTGCATAGGCAGAGACAACAAATAGACACCGCCTATCTGGCCTACTACTCCTTACTTTCGTATAACCTTCCAGCCTCACAGCACATAAACGACTGTTAATGGGAATCCAGTCGAGCAGTGCAGCTTCGGCTCTAGCGCTCAGTGCGACACCGACACCAGCTACGCCGGATGCTGATGCCACAGGGTCCCCGGATAAGCGCAGGTGGTACATACTACTAGAACTTCCAGGTAGGTAATTATAACTAAGAAGAATAGGTGAATGAATGTCAGTTGATATTTTTTTAAAATTTTTTATTTTTGATTACAGCTTGATGCCACACTGTATTTTCAGTACAAGTATGGCATTTTCAGTATGGATATCGGTAGCCCAAATTTCACAGGCCAACCATAGATATCGGGTGTGCGTCGGCAGGGGATCGAACCCCGGACCATGTGCATGGTCGGCGAGAGTCCTAACCACTGTGCCACCGACGCACACATAGCTACAAAGATAGGAGAAAAAATTATTTATAAGACTGTACATATTGTTTAGATTGCCACGACGAGGAAAGAGGTTGTACGAATTTCTTTGGAATGCACAGATTTGGCCTGTTCAGGTGAATTCCTATCACCTCTTTGTATGTTAAAATCGGACTCGTAAAGTATAAGAAAGGTTCGATTAAATGCAATACGAAAAAAAATTTCAAAGCTCTGTCGGTATCAACTTGATGTCCTTTATCGTAGAAGTGACGTAGTATGGAACTACGCATGGCTTTATTCGGTCCTTCCCACAAAAAAGGTGGGTAATTTTCAGAAATTTCCTGATGCACAAGCCTAATCTGGGAGTGCTATCTATACAGGGGAAGTTAAACTGGTAAATACAAAATTACCAAGTGCTG